ATTCCCCCCTAAATTCACAGGGCTTTCTCTCCTACTGTTTTAGCAGTGTTGCTTTCTGAGATTTCCTGGTTCTTTTGCCCTCACTCCTACCTTTACCTAGACCTTCTCATTTCTTTTTTGCTATTGTCTCTATCTTGCTCATAGCTGTTTCTACTCCCAACTGGCTCTTTTCAATACTGGGCCCTGTCTTGAAAGGAAACACTGGATAGTTGGTTTCTAGTGTTACATAATACACTCAGATTGCTCTAGCCTTAATGCAAATGCCTTGAATATGCCTACTGATAGAAAGGTAAAGTCCTTCCCAGTTCAGCTGATGTTCTCAAATAGCCCCCGTGAGCTTTCCAGAGTATACCTTCTGCTTGTTTTGTTCTGCCACACTCAATCCATCAGTAAAGTCATGGTCTTCTTCTTTGTCCTCCTACGTAGATGTGGATATGAGGCCTGCTTATTGCTACTGGTGGTTTGTTCTCATTTACTCATATTTTGGGATCATAAGGATATCTTATTACCTCATTTTGTTATAAATATTGACCATGAGTTTTGATTTTTCTATCTAGTTGCTCTGTCTGCTTTTTATAGAGATTCAAAGAGATTCAGACACTAAGTTACTAGCACCATATTGTACCATAATTTCTTTAGTCACTCCTTTATGGATGATGATTCAGGTATGTCCTTGGAGACCATGCTATGATGAACATTGTTGTGCATTTGTCTTTACATGCTGGTGTTTTTATTTCTGTATTAGAGAGCTCCAAAAGTAGGATTCCTTTGCCAAAAGATATCTACCTTTTTCTGGATTTTACCAATTTACTTTCTAAAACAGTTGTAGTAATTCATTCCAAACAGCAAGTAAGACAGAGCTCATTTCTCAGCATGGTCACCAGACTACATGTTAGAAGTCTTTGCCACTCTGATAGGTCAAAAATTATATTGTGCTGTTTTGATTTTCCTTTACCAGCCTCCTAGTGTATATGAGCACCTTCTCCTATATGTATTGACCTTCATGTATCTTTTCCCCGATTCATAAGTTTTGCCACAAATTTTGGGTTGTCTATCTTTTCATACTAATTGGCAGGAACACTTTAAGCAACTGAAATATTGGCTCTTTTTCTTGATGTGCTCAAATATTACCCCATCAATTATATTTTAATTTTATGATGTCTGCCATGCAGCAATATTTAATTTTTAGTTAGAATGGATGTCAATTGCCCTGGCTGGTGTGGCTCAGTCGATTGAGTGCCACCCTGTGAACCAAAGGGTGACTGGTTCAATTCCCAGTCTAGGGCCAGGGTTGCATGACAGGTCCCCTATCTCCAGTGGGGGGTGCACAAGAGGCAACCACACATTAATGCTTCTTTCTCCCTTTATCTCTGTAAAAATAAATAAATAAAATCTTTAAAAAATAGAATAGATATCAATTGTTTATTTTATATTTTCTGGAATTCTTGCTTTATGAGAAATTGTAATTCTTACCACATCATACATGTATTCTCCAAGGTTTCATATTAATATTTTTTGTTACTCTGTGCTATTGATTAGATTTTAAATCCACATGGATTTATAGGGAAGGGGAGTACTTTAATGCTCTTTCTACTGTATCATGGGCAATTTGCTTAAATTCTCTGAGTTTCCCTTTCCTCATCTGTAAAATGGTTAAAATAATACTGCATAAGGATGGTTTAAGGATAAAAATAAAATAATATATACAAATGCATACTATATTTCTAGGCACATGGTAGGCACTGCATAAATAGAGGATATATATTTTTTGAGATAGTATAGTGGGAAGAATGAGGCAAATTACTCCAACTCTCTGAGACTGAATTTCATAAATTAAAAATGATCTTTCTTAGAGTTGGTATGAAATTAATGAGATACTATGCAAAGCTTCTACCCTGATCTGGTAAATGATACATTGCAACATTGTGACTGAATGCATATAAATATTGTTATCATTTCCATTATTTTGACTACTATTATTAACAATATTATTACCACCAATACTAGCAGGCATTAAAGAAACTTACCAGTTAGGTCTCAGAATACTTGAGTTCTGGGTTCTGCCACTGACTAGCTGTATACCATAGGCACTTCCTTCATCTGGGTACTTTGTATACATTCTATGAAGGGGTGATCTAGGTCAAAGTCACAGCTGAACTGCTGGCATCACCACTGAGTACAGTAATATTTAATTTTTAAATTACATAGATTACAAACATGTTGCCAGAGAAAATATGCCTGTGGGCTTCTAGTTTACCATTCTAAATGAAGATGATTCAGATTTAGACTTAAAATAAATTAAGACATAAATTAAGCTATTTGCAAATAACAGTTACTATACCAAATATTTTAAAAAATGTGACTTTATAACATTTTTCTTAAGCCTTACTTTAAAAAATCCCATTTTAACTACATGTATATGCAGTAAAACAGGACAATAACCATATGAAAAGATGTTCCATTATTCTCTAACTTTTAAGCACAATCTGTTTTTAGAGGCATTTTATTTCTGTGAGGTATGAATGGCAGAAACAGACAATTTAGTTATTCTAGACTAATTTCTCAGCTGTGGTTCTATTTTAGGGTCTCACTCATACAGATCAGAGAGGCTTCAGTGCTTAGGCTATGATTTCATCATTTTTTTTTGTTCAAATGCATTATTTGTTTCATCTGCAGCCCCATCATACTATACTATCACCACACCATACCAGCTCCTATCACCACCATATACTATGTGGTGATATACTATCACCACACCATACCAGCTCCTATCACTCCTATCACCACCATAACCACCATCTCTACCACCATCACTACCACTACTATCATTATTACCACCCTCATCTCCAATACCATTATCTCTACCACCATCATCACTATTAACAACATCTCTACCAGTGCTACTAGCATCACCATCATCACCACCATCTATCTCAACCACCACCATTATTACTACCATCACCATCATCACTATCATTATCTCCACCAACATCTCCAACACCATTACCATACCACAAGTCCTATCACCATCATCACTATTACCACCATCACTATCACTACCATCTGCATCACCATCATCACCATCTCTACCACTCCTACACTTCCACTATTACCACTATCATGACCACAACACTACATTGTCATCATCATCACCACCATCATCAGCTGCAGCATCCCCAGTAGCATTAATTCACCCAGATGATCACAATGTCTGTCTTCCAGACTAGCTTCTCTGTCTTTAGTCTCTCATCACCTCCAGTATTTCCCAAATTTTTTGCCAAATTAACTATCCTGCATCAAAGTTCAGATTATACCTCCTGCCTGATTAAAATCTTAAGTTTTAATTAATCTTTAAGCAATCTCATTCCTAATGAATAAAGTCCATTCACTGAGCCTGGCATGCAAGAGCATTTGTATAAAAATGTCTCTAGAACAGAACTCAGAATAGATTTCCCATTGCTACCTCTTTAAGTATGCTAAGATCCAACCAAACCAGAGCATTTTCTAGTCTTTGTATACATTTTAGACTAGTGTTTTCCAAAGTAAGAATCAAATACTACTTTATTTGCTAAAATGCACATTTCTATACTCCATGCCTAGAAGCTCCCTCTTTAAAATCTAAGTACTTAATGTCTTTTTCTGCTTAGTTTCAGGATCTTATTGATAGTTTCATGACCACAAAGACATTCTCATTTGACATCGGGTTACTTACATATCTTATAGAGCATTTATAAGGACTAATATTTTATTTATTTTTAAAAAGATTTTATTTATTTATTTTTAGAGAGGGGAAGGGAGGGAGAGAGGGAAACGCCAATGTGTGGTTGCTTCTTGTGCACCCTCACACAGAGGACCTGGCCAGCAACCCAGGCATGTTCCCTAGACTGGGAATCAAACTGGTGACCTTTTGGTTCACAAGCTGGTACTCAATCTAATGAGATACACCAGCCAGGGCAAGGACTAATATTTTTAAAATATAAAGTAGTTGTCATAGTGTCTAACCCAGTAAAGGTGGTTTTTATTGTTAATTCTTGCCCTACCTACCTCAGAGTGTTTTTGTGGTATAGAAGTAAATTATGTTCATGAGAGCACTTTTATGTTTTTTATATGTTCACCATTTGACTGTAAGCTTTTGAGGATCAGGGATTATGTTTTATTCATAACTGAGTAATTTACATAATCCAGACCAGTGTTTTGCTCAGTAAATATTAGCTGAGTAAGTATGGTACTTATTTTTTAAATTGTGATATAAAGTTAAATGAAGTGATCCTAAACATCATTACAAAATACCCTTCTTTTTGCCTTTCCAGAGGAAGTTTCTGAGGCATTTTCTGCTTCTCTGGTGGTCCCTGAAAGCTGTAAGTTCAGGTCCTCCAAGAGTTCTAGGTTCTTTCCACCCTTGAGCTTAAGCAGTACACCCCTCTCCCACACCCTCTGAAATCCTGGATGGGAGAGACTGGAAAAGCTTTATTGAGTCTTCATCCCCTTACTGAGTCTCCATCCCTAGTCCTGTTCTTATAACTGGGCTTCTGTCTCATTACCAAGTCACAATATTCCACTAAGACCACTAAGACCACTTAAGATACATAGACTGTATCTTATGCCTGGGTCCCTGTCTTGATGACCTGCTTAATACTTGTACTTTTATGATTAGACATGCTCTTGGTTTTGCCAGTGATGTCTACACTGTCTTTCTATCCTTCAAACATCTTATATCTCATCCATTAACTTCTTGCTGACAGATTTGCTGGTGCTGAGTGTCTGCTCATGAATTTCCAAGGACTCACTGATGTGCTTTATTCATCTGCAGAGGACCCTTCACCTGCTGGTAGACTGTTGATACCAGATGCTTGTGGGGACTGAATGCAAGTAGCATTTAGATCAGACCTCCTGCCTGATCCAGCAGTGGTCTCCTGGGGGGATGACTGCCTCCTCACTTTGTGTGCCCTCAGTGTCCACTCACCCTTGTGCAGTTAATGGCTTGTAGTCAAGTTGCTCACCTGGCTGATGGTGCTCATGGCTCGCATGTAGCTCTCATTCCTGGAGCGGAACTTTGGTGACGTGAGCAGGCCTGCAGGGTCAAGGCTGTCTAGGCTTCGGTTGATAGAGACTTCACTTACTGCTCTCAGGTAACTGTGACTCCGGATCTGGAGCTTGGGGGAGTGTTCATTAGAAATCCTGGAAGAGAACAATAAAGGGGATTCATTTAGCCACATTCTAAAGTATGGGCAGGAATAAGATGTGACAATACTATCACTGATGAGGTACCTTAAATGTGAGGGCAAATAATTAAATGCCCTCTTATGACTGCTAAACTCCTACATGGTGTCTCAGAAAGAAAAGCTTTTCACAGGAAATCATCAAGGTCTTGTGACATTAGAGAAAAGTTAAATTCTCTCAAACCATGAACAAATTTCACTACTTACTGTTTTTTGGCCTCCTGGGGAGGGACATGATAGCTGTGACTCCCCTGCCTCAGGATTCTGTCCTGTGTCATTTGTAAGCCTTTCCTCTGTGCCTATTTCTTTTCTGTGCTTTCACTAAATAGAAATTTTAATTTAAAAATTCCAATCAAAACAGCAAAACATAAAATAAGTAGAAATTATTATTCAAAAAAGAAATGTACCAGAATTTCATGAAGAAAACTATAAAACTTCATGGCAGGGAATACACAAGGTCTATATAACTATAAAAAGGAAAAATAATTTTCCTGCATGGACATACTATTGTAATAAAAATTAAAATTATCCCGAATTAATCTATAAATTTAAAGCAATTACAAAAATTCTCATGGAATTTTTATTGGAATGTAACAAACTTCAAAAGTTTATATAAGATTCACAGCAGCAATATTCATAAAAGCCAAAATATGGAAACAACCCAAATGTCTATCAACAGATGCACAGAAAAGTAAAATGTGGTATTTTCATGCAATGACATATTATTTGGCCATAAAAAAGAATGCAGTACTGAGACATGCCACAGCATGGATGACCTTTGAAAAGATCATGCTAAGTGAAAGAAGCCAGTCATAAAAGATCATAGATTGTGATTCCACTATCAAATATCTGGAACAGGCAAATCTATGAAGATAGATAGTAGATTAGTAGTTGCCTAGATAGAGCTGACCAGGCAGTAAAGGAGGAAGAAGATGGAAGAATTGAGGGCTCGTATCTAGCAGGTATGGAGTTGCTTTTTGGGGAGATAAAAATACTCTAAAATTAATTAGTGATGACTGTACAACTTTGTGAATAGACTAAAAACAGTTGAATTGTACATTTAAATGAATTAATTGTATGGTATGTTCATTATATCTCAATAATGCTGTTATAAACATTATACAAGACCTCAAAATAATCTGATTTCTTTATCAATAAAGAGAGTTTATTTATTATTATTTTTTAATTTATGTTTTAAAATTTAATTTATTTATTTTTAGAGAGGGAAGGGAGGGAGAAAAAGAGAGGGAGAGAAACATCCATGTGCGGTTGCTGGGGGCCGTGGCCTGCAACCCAGGCATGTGCCCTGACTGGGAATTGAACCTGCAATGTTTTGGTTCGCAGCCCGCTCTCAATCCACTGAGCTACGCCAGCCAGGGCAATAAAGAGAGTTTAGAGAGTAGAATATAGCAGGCAAATGAGAGAAGGAGAACCAGCCAAAGTGGCTGTAGTATTGTAATACTTTCAGCAAGTAATAAGACTGACTTAAATGTCATTGGAACTTGAATCGATACATTTGAGATTTTGCATGAAAATTAAATATAGAAGATGGGTAAGAGGAGGACTCTAAACACAGATGGAATATAGTAATAAATAAAAAAGGAGAGAAATACAGATTGCAAACATAATTTATAGCTAAAGTGGTGAGAATAGTGTGGTGTTAGTGAAGGAATAGACAAATCAAAGGAAAATAGATAAATAAATTCACAGTAAAATAAATTTATATGCCACCATGCATAAGAAAATATGTTCAGTCTCACTAGCAATTAGGGAAATGTTGATAAAAAATAAGATACAGCTTGCATGTCAGATCCATGCACATCCATGTCCACGTCCTCAGATGCTAAAGCCATTCTTCACATTCAAATGTCCTCTTCGCAATGTGTAATACTGCATTCATTCTTGAAGTTTATATGGAATTACTTTAATATAATAGCCAAAAAAGATATACTCAATAATACTAAACTTGGAGAATTTGATTAGTAGCCACTTTTTACAACTGTACTGAGGGAGAGACCAGGTTAAAACAAATCTAGAATTTAACATAAGAAATAGACATCTTATGTATTTTACTACTATAAAAGAGAAACTGATTTTTCTAGAATCATACCCTATATAGAGCCTTCAAGTAGCTGCCAAACATAAAAATACCCCTGCCAGGTCAAGCAAATATTTTCCATGTGTTATACACTATTTTGGTGATTTGCAGTGGGTCATTGTAAATGCCCATGCCCCAAATCCCAACCAACAAACAAATAAACTGAAGAATTCATTTCCCTTTACAATCTCTTCTAGGAAAAGAGAGCCCTAGCTAGACTCATTATGCCCTAAAGGTGACTTCCCTTTAGAACCTGAGAGGTAGATGACAAATGTTTCTTTTTTAAAAAATTTTTAAATTATTTTATTATTGTCCAATTACAGTGGTCTGTATTTCCCCCCTACCACTGCCCTTATCCAGCCAAACCTCCCTCCATTTCTTGCTTCCACTCTTCCCCTTGGTTTTGTTCATGTGTCCTTTATAATAGCTCCTGAAAACCTGATGAATGTATTTCTTTAACTATTTTGCAAACTGACCCAGAGCAATGATATTGCTATCATAAATGATGAGCTGTTCCAAATGGTTATCAGGGCAGCAATGGGGGTGGATATTTAATAAATGGTGTATATTCAAAAGAAAATGTGAATGTCCACTGTTTTGAAAAATGAGCGTCTGCTGGCTGAGATGGGGAAACAGTAATTTTTCCCTGGCCACTTGTTAAGAAATAAGACATAATTCCCAAATTTCAAAGTGAAGAATCATTCACAAAGGATTAAGTAGTGTTATTTTGGCATGTCATTCATGATAAAATAACACATACTTTAATAATACAATAAATAACAAGGAAATGAACTTATCTATCTTTGCCATTTACAGAGCAGAACTCACAGTTATTAATATAAAGGAACAGTATGCCCATGTACTCCTGATGTGGAAATACTTATTAAAAAACAACTGGAAATACTTATTAAACAATAACCAAAAATACTATCAGCTGATTTCCCAAAAAGAGACCTTACAGGCAAGAAGGGGCTGGAAAGAAGTATTTGAAGTCATGAAAGGCAAGGACCTACATCCAAGATTGCTCTATCCAGCAAAGCTTTCATTTAGAATGGAAGGGCAGATAAAGTGCTTCCCAGATAATGTCAAGTTAAAGGAGTTCATCATCACCAAGCCCTTATTCTATGAAATGTTAAAAGGATTTTAACATTTAAGAAAAAGAAGATGATTGAAAGTATGAACAGTAAAACAACAAACTCACAACTATCAATAATTGAACTTAAAAACAGAAACAAACTAAGCAAACAACTAGAAGAGGAACAGAATCACAGAAATGGAGATCACACAGAGAGGTAGCAGTGGGGAGGCAGTGGGAGGGAATGGGGGAAAAGGTACAGGGCATATGTGGCATAAATTGTAGGTACGTAATAGACAGGGGGAGGTTAAGGACAGTATAGGAAATGGAGAATCCGAAGACTTACACATATGACCCATGGACATGAAGTAAGGAGGAGGAATGCTGGTGGGAGGGGGGATGAAGAGCAGAGGGGAATAAAAGGGGGGGAATGGGACAACTGTAATAGCATAATCAATAAAATATTCTTTAATAAATAACCAAAAAATTATTCACTGATTGCTTTATGTTCACCTCAAAAGAAAGTTGATTTACTAAGAAGAAACAGAGTATGTATATTCAGAAATATTAGCTCCCATTAGGTTATTTTTTTGATGTTGGCCTGTTCAAATGGTATTCATCTTTTCCCACTTTTCACCCAAAATTATTTATGCTAAGTTCACCTGTTGTGGCTTATTATAACTGAACTGAGACTTTGGCCTGGATGAATGCCATTCATTATCACGTCCTTTAACAACAGGCAAAGACAAGATGCCTGTGGGTGGCTGTGAGGCAGTGATACAAACAGGTTTGGCCCAGTCTATCAGTAAGGTTGCCATTGCAAAGAAGAGAAAATGCAATAATACTCAGACCACGAAATTTTAAACCAAGATTTCAAAAGAGAAAATGACTAGCTTTATTACTACAAACGTAATTTCATAGGATAAATAAGTTTGGGGGAATCTAATACACAACATGTGATAAAAGTTAATAATAATATGTTGTATACTTGAAATTTACTAACAAAGATCTTTTTAATTTTTAAAATTGAGGTAAAATTGACATATAACATTAGGTTAATTTCAGGTATACACCATAATGATTCAGTATTTGTGTATATTGTAAAATGCTCACTACCATAAGTCTGGTTAATATCTATCACCAAATAGTTACAATACTTTTCTTGTGATGAGAGCTTTTAAGATTTATTCTCTTAGCAACTTTCCAATGTACAATATAATATTATTAACTATAGCCACCATGCTGTACATTACATCCCCATGACTTATATATTCTATAACTGGAAATTTGTTCATCCGCAGCCCCCACCTCTGGCAACCACCAATCTGTTTCTAGAATCTATGAATTTAGGGTTTTTTTTTGATTCCACATATAAATGAGATCACATGGTATTTGAAAAAAGATCTTAAGGGCTCACCACACACAAAACTGTGAGGTGATGGATGTTTTAATTAACTTGGTCATCGCACATTTTAAATATATACAATTTTTTGGGTCAATTGGTTCTAGCACTAACTTTATGCTCACAATTCACAAATCTATTGGTAGCTGATGGCTTTCCCTGAAACTTTAAAACTAAACTCTTATTAACTACTGTACATTTTTACCTGGATGTTATACAGGTATCAAAAAATCATCACCTCCCTGGTGTGGCTTAGTGGATTCAACAGTTGGTCTGGGAACCAAAGGGTTGCCGGTTCCATTCCCAGTCAGGGCACATGCCTGGGTTGCAGGCCAGATCCCCAGTAGGGGGCACACGAGAGGCAACCAGACATTGATGTTCCTC